CCGCAGCCCCCCTGTCCGCCATTGCCAGCTCATGCAGCTGCTGCGCGCCAAGCTATGAGCGGAGATGGTTGGAGATGGGGAGGACAGGTGGGAAAGCGGGGAGATGTCAAAGGAGGGTCCGGTGGAGCGAGAAGATGAATCTAGTCAGCGCCGGCACGGTCACCATGGCACGCTCTCTTGTCATCTATTTTCACTCGATGTCTCCCCTCTGTTCCCTCCTCTCTCACCCCCACCCACTCCCTCACAGCTACGAGCGCATGCTGCAGCAGCAACAGGACGAAGCTAGTTTGCAACACAGTCACCGTGCCTTCTCTTCTCACTCTCTTTCTCCTCTGTCCTCCCTCTCCCTCTCCCTCTCTTCACAGCTATGAGCGCATGCTGCAGGAGCAACAGGACGAAGTCAGCTCTCGCAGACGATCGCAGGTGAGGTTCTGCGGTGTTGATGTGGCACGACTTCATTCTGAGGCCTCTGACACCTCCCTCGCTCTCAATGCACTTCTCCTCGCCCCATTCCTCCTCACCCCCCCTCATCACCCTTTGTCACACCCTCATATCCTCTCCCACCCCCAACCCAAGCCTCTTTCTTTCATTAGGCGCCGGAATATTCCTCACTCATCCTCACGCATCCTCACGCATCCTCACGCATCACGTTTTTCAAAGACTGAAAACCACGCAACGCAATGGCCTGTTGTGCTTCTCCCTTTCCTTGTCCCGTCTCGCCTGTTCCTCTGCAGGTCGGCACGGGCTCACGTTCTGAGAAGATCCGAACGTACAACTACAAGGTGGGCATTCTGTGCTGGCAATGCAATGGGGTAGGCATGCCTTCTTCGCCAATGGTACAAAGAGAGGTGTGAACGCGTTGCTTCCGGAATTTGACAAGGGTGTCACCATCGCACCAAGATCAACTCTCATGTGCTTCCTGCATTACATGCATATGCATAAAGAAATGCTTTTCATACCTCTCCAACTCACCCAACCCCCCCACCATCAGGAAAACCGGGTGTCGGATCATCGCAACAAGATCAACTCTTTTGTTGTCCCTGTACCCTCATGATAAGACAGCCCCCCTCCCCATCCCCCCACCATCAGGACAACCGGGTGTCGGACCATCGCACCAAGATCAACTCTTTTGTTGTCCCTGTACCCTCATGATAAGACAGCCCCCCTCCCCATCCCCCCACCATCAGGACAACCGGGTGTCGGACCATCGCACCAAGATCAACTATGACCTCGGCTCGTTCCTCAATGGCGATATCGACAACGCCATCCAGGTGAGGACGGACAACGCCATCCAGGTGAGGACGGACAATGCCATCCAGGTGAGGACGGACAATGCCATCCAGGTGAGGACGGACAATGCCACCCAGGTGAGGACTGGTGATTTTTAAGCTGTAACATGTAAGGCTGAGAATGCCACTCAAGTAAGGCTGAGAATGCCGTTTATTCAAATACCCCCACTCCCTGTCCGTCCTCTTCTGTTTTCTCTTCTGTTTTCTCTTCTGGTTTCTCCTCTGTTGTCTCTTCTGTTTTTCTTTCCCGCCCGATCCATTGCTCCCCTCCTTCCCGTGTGCCCAGTCCATGGTGTCAGTGGCACGCAAGGAAGGAGCACAAGGAGATGGTGGCTCTCACTCAAACACAAGATTACCTTTTCGACCAACTTAACAAGGAGCAGACGGAGAGGTGCCTCAAAAGCACGCAGAGAAGGAGCACAAGGAGATGGAGGCACTCAACGAAACGCAAGAGCATCTTCCTTCAAGTCTTGCTGTCTTTCTCTTCTCCACCCACTTCTCCCCATCCCCCCAGCCCACCAGTCCATGGTAGCGATGGAGCATAAAGAGATGCTGGCTTACCTTCCCTCTCACTAAAGTCTCTCTTCTGCCATGCCATTCCACCCTCTTTCCCCCATCCCCCCCTCTTTCCTTCCTCTCCCCCATTCTTCCCACCAGTCAATGGTGGCGATGGAGCAGAAGGAGATGCGGGGTGAACTTCCCTCTGACCAGGTCTCTCTGCTGCCATTCCACCCTCTTCCCCCCCTTCCCCTCTCCTGCCCCCACCAGTCCATGGTGGCCATGGAGCAGAAGGAGATGCTGGAGGAGCTGGCAGCGTCCGTGCAGACCACAGTTTGAGCCTGACCGAGTCACTGTGACGTACGAAAGTGTAGGATGGGCAGAGGAAAACCAGACTAATGCCTGTATAAAACTACTGCCTAGGATTTGGAAAGTAGATCACCATAGCTTCTGTTATTGGAAACCATGAAATGGGACTTTAGAATCCAGTTTGTTTCTTGAGAATTCTCAAAAATCACACCCATGTGCACTTGTTTGCGCAAGGTGCCTCTGATTTTGAAAGCATATACGGTATCTTCCAAGTACAATCATCAAGCCCGCTGACGTCTTAAAGTCAGACATGTGGCTTCAACATTGTCATCCCTAGTTGGTCAAGCTTTTTTCGCCTCGATTAAAATAACTCCCTGACTGGTACCATGCTTTTCCATCGAATACAAGACCCTGGAAATGATAGGGTATGGGTTTATTACAAGCGTGAAAATCTTGTAAAGCCCGTATGTATATTTGTGAGTTAAGTCTTAAAGAGTGTTCGGATGCTGGAAGCATTTGCGAGTTTTCGCAAAACTCGCTCGCGACAACCGTTAGCACGGCTAATTTCGAAACTCTTGGGACTTTCAGTGGGGAAAACCCACAGTGCATCCGTCAGCCCGTCAAGGTCCTTCGATGTGAAGCTTGCTTTGCCACTGCATTTTGCGCACACACGTTTAGTCACTGTGGCTTTCTGGAACCGCGATAGTCGTCACCCATACATCTCGGATTTGATTTGTCTTTACGACGTTCAGTTCAGCATCCCATCTGTTATTCGTAATTGGGAACCGAAATGGGGAGAGCACGTAAGGCGCGGAAGTACGCGGAGGTGAAAAGACTAATCAACCCAAAGGAGATAAAACAGTGAGTTACAATCTCTTCGTTCCCGCCCGCCAAGCTGTCTCGATTCGTGCCACGGATCTTGCCAGCCGTCGTGGCGTAGTGATCGACGCGCGTCATTCAGTTGGCTGCGCGCTGATACTGGCGGACGTCAAATGCCTGTCGTTTGGGAAACCTGGGAAAGTTGGTGGGAGGCGGGCGATGATGACGACACGCAGAGGCATAGGGCGTCACGGAACGGTTTCACGGAGCGTGAGAAGGAGAATCGGTTTAGAAACGATGGGGATGCATTCTGACAGAAACGAGAGGTAAACCCGTATGCATTCTAAACCCTGCCGAAGATTCGAAGGGGATACGGTGCAAGCCCGGCGAGGGGTTTCGAGTGACGCACATGCGAGTGTGTGCGAATGCTGTGCGTGCGGCCTTTGAGTCGACTCAAGATTCACCGTGTGCATGGTGCACATGCGTGTGTGCTTGCATGCTGTGCGGTGCTGTGCGGTGGGCAGGTATCGCCAGGACGTGTTGGACCCCAAGAAACCAGACAGCGAGAAGGACAAGCTTCCACGCAATGTGTGAGTCCTGCTGTGAGAATTATTATAATCTCCTTGCACCAAAAACCCCAGCATCTGAGGTGTACCCGATCATGGAGCATAAACCCGAAACCCCGAAACCCCAATCCGTGTGATCGTGCTCTCTCGTTCGCTCTTTTTCATGCTTACACATATACCTTTGCACAATTCATCTCCCTAGTCTGCACCTCTCACAGTCTCCCTCTATCTACCTCCTCTTGCTTCCTCCTCTTGCTTCCTCCTCTTGCTTCCTCCTCTTGCTTCCTCCTCTTGCTTCCTCCTCTTGCTTCCTCCTCTTGCTTCCTCCTCTTGCTTCCTCCTCTTGCTTCCTCCTCTTGCTTCCTCCTCTTGCTTCCTCCTCTTGCTTCCTCCTCTTGCTTCCTCCTCTTGCTTCCTCCTCTTGCTTCCTCCTCTTGCTTCCTCCTCTTGCTTCCTCCGGCTCCCCTCGCATGCGCGTGGCGTGTGGCATGTGATGTGACGCTGCGGCGTGGCGTGCCATATGGCATCTGATGTGTGGCGTGCCATATGGCATCTGATGTGTGGCGTGCCATATGGCATCTGATGTGTGGCGTGCCATATGGCATCTGATGTGTGGCGTGCCATATGGCATCTGATGTGTGGCGTGCCATATGGCATCTGATGTGTGGCGTGCCATATGGCATCTGATGTGTGGCGTGCCATATGGCATCTGATGTGTGGCGTGCGAGTTGTGGCGGGGGGCGCATGGTGGCATCATGGTGTGTGCCGTGTGGTGCGGGCGTGGCATATGGCATCCGATGTGTGGTATCATGCGGCATCATGTGGCATGTGGCATGGTGCATGGTGCATGTGGGATGGTGCATGTGGCATGGTGCATGGTGCATGTGTCATGGTGCATGTGTCATGGTGCATGTGGCATGGTGCATGTGTGACGGTACAGCCCCAACGTGTCATCGGCGCTATTCTTCAAGCACAACACGGCGCTGGGTCCGCCCTACCAGGTGCTCGTGGACACCAACTTCATCAACTTCTCCATCTCCAACAAGGTCTGATCCGCCCTCCCTCCCCATCTCCAACAAGGTCTGATCCGCCCTCCCTCCCCATCTCCAACAAGGTCTGATCCGCCCTCCCGCAACCCCATCACGTGCCCTTTTTCACTCCACTCACAAGTCACGTTCCCTTTTTCACTCCACTCACAAGTCACGTTCCCTTTTTCACTCCACTCACAAGTCACGTTCCCTTTTTCACTCCACTCACAAGTCACGTTCCCTTTTTCACTCCACTCACAAGTCACGTTCCCTTTTTCACTCCACTCACAAGTCACGTTCCCTTTTTCACTCCACTCACAAGTCACGTTCCCCTTTTCACTCCACTCACAAGTCACGTTCCCCTTTTCACTCCACTCACAAGTCACGTTCCCTCCTCCGCACACCCGCGCCCCTCCACACGCCCACCCCGCCTCGCCATGCCGCACTTGGACTTACACTCCTCAGTTGCTGCCATTGCACCACGGATTATGCTGTTGCCATTGCACCACGGATTATGCTGCTGCCAAGCCTCCCATTGCTGCATTGCTGATTCCTCTTATTACCGCCCACATGCTTCCAGCCCATGCATAGCCTTCTCATGATTACCCAACTGTCCCTTCCATATCCCCCATCTCTGCCCTCTCTTTCCTATTGTGCGTTTCCTATTGTGCGTTTGCTATGTGTTCCTGCCTTGCAACGTGCTGGCTGCCCGGTGCTGGCTGGGTTGGTCCGCGTTGGTGATTGAGCACGTTGGTTGGTGGTCCGCGTAAATGAATGCGCACGTTGGTTGGTGGTGTCATCACATCACCGGATCTTTGGCATCATGCTCATGCTGGCTCGGATGGCCACACGACCAGCTTGATCTGGAGAAGGCCATGATGGATTGCCTCTACGCTAAATGTCAGTTCCTCCACTCCACTCCGCCGCACGCATCGCCCATGAGCTTTAACGATCTGTCGTGATTCATGATCATTTCTCATTATCTTACATGATCCTCGATCGTTGATGGCCTATGAGTTCAAAGTTTCATAATTTCGCCTGATGCTGGCCACAGCTGGCTCTCTTTTAGCCCACCGACATTGAATGCATGCACTTGTCTGTGCTCCTTAGGTCATCCCTCCACTCCACGTTCCATCCTCGGCTACTCCATCTCTGCCCCTCATTGCGTCCACCCTTTTGCCAATAACAACATTGTGTGTGCCTGCCTGCCTGTGTGCGTGTGCATGGGCATGCATGCATCGCAGGCACGCCATGCATAACGGACTGTGTCTTGGCAGAACTGGAGAAGCTCGGTCAGATGTACCGAGTGGCGCTCAGGTGGGTCAGATGTACCGAGTGGCGCTCAGGTGGGTGGGTCAGATGTACCGAGTGGCGCTCAGGTGGGTCAGATGTACCGAGTGGCGCTCAGGTGGGTGGGTCAGATGTACCGAGTGGCGCTCAGGTGGGTCAGATGTACCGAGTGGCACTCAGGTGGGTGGGTCAGATGTACCGAGTGGCGCTCAGGTGGGTCAGATGTACCGAGTGGCGCTCAGGTGGGTCAGATGTACCGAGTGGCGCTCAGGTGGGTGGGTCAGATGTACCGAGTGGCGCTCAGGTGGGTCAGATGTACCGAGTGGCGCTCAGGTGGGTGGGTCAGATGTACCGAGTGGCGCTCAGGTGGGTCAGATGTACCGAGTGGCGCTCAGGTGGGTGGGTCAGATGTACCGAGTGGCGCTCAGGTGGGTCAGATGTACCGAGTGGCGCTCAGGTGGGTCAGATGTACCGAGTGGCGCTCAGGTGGGTCAGATGTACCGAGTGGCGCTCAGGTGGGTCAGATGTACCGAGTGGCGCTCAGGTGGGTCAGATGTACCGAGTGGCGCTCAGGTGGGTCAGATGTACCGAGTGGCGCTCAGGTGGGTCAGATGTACCGAGTGGCGCTCAGGTGGGTCAGAATGTACCGAGTGGCGCTCAGGTGGGTCAGATGTACCGAGTGGCGCTCAGGTGGGTCAGATGTACCGAGTGGCGCTCAGGTGGGTCAGATGTACCGAGTGGCGCTCAGGTGGGTCAGATGTACCGAGTGGCGCTCAGGTGGGTCAGATGTACCCGAGTGGCGCTCAGGTGGGTCAGATGTACCGAGTGGCGCTCAGGTGGGGTCAGATGTACCGAGTGGCGCTCAGGTGGGTCAGATGTACCGAGTGGCGCTCAGGTGGGTCAGATGTACCGAGTGGCGCTCAGGTGGGTCAGATGTACCGAGTGGCGCTCAGGTGGGTCAGATGTACCGAGTGGTGCCTCCCCTCCCTCCTGCCTCCCTCCTGCCTCCCTCCTGCCTCCCTCCTGCCTCCCTCCTGCCTCCCTCCTGCCTCCCTCCTGCCTCCCTCCTGCCTCCCTCCTGCCTCCCTCCTGCCTCCCTCCTGCCTCCCTCCTGCCTCCCTCCTGCCTCCCTCCTGCCTCCCTCCTGCCTCCCTCCTGCCTCCCTCCTGCCTCCCTCCTGCCTCCCTCCTGCCTCCCTCCTGCCTCCCTCCTGCCTCCCTCCTGCCTCCCTCCTGCCTCCCTCCTGCCTCCCTCCTGCCCTCGCTCCTGCCCTCTTTCCAACTCCCCTTCCCTTGCCGTCCTCTCAGTCACATCCTCATCTCTCGTGCCTCAATCACACTTTCTTCCTCATCTCTCGTGCCTCAATCACACTTTCTTCCTCATCTCTCGTGCCTCAATCACACTTTCTTCCTCATCTCTCGTGCCTCAATCACACTTTCTTCCTCATCTCTCGTGCCTCAATCACACTTTCTTCCTCATCTCTCGTGCCTCAATCACACTTTCTTCCTCATCTCTCGTGCCTCAATCACACTTTCTTCCTCATCTCTCGTGCCTCAATCACACTTTCTTCCTCATCTCTCGTGCCTCAATCACACTTTCTTCCTCATCTCTCGTGCCTCAATCACACTTTCTTCCTCATCTCTCGTGCCTCAATCACACTTTCTTCCTCATCTCTCGTGCCTCAATCACACTTTCTTCCTCATCTCTCGTGCCTCAATCACACTTTCTTCCTCATCTCTCGTGCCTCAATCACACTTTCTTCCTCATCTCTCGTGCCTCAATCACACTTTCTTCCTCATCTCTCGTGCCTCAATCACACTTTCTTCCTCATCTCTCGTGCCTCAATCACACTTTCTTCCTCATCTCTCGTGCCTCAATCACACTTTCTTCCTCATCTCTCGTGCCTCAATCACACTTTCTTCCTCATCTCTCGTGCCTCAATCACACTTTCTTCCTCATCTCTCGTGCCTCAATCACACTTTCTTCCTCATCTCTCGTGCCTCAATCACACTTTCTTCCTCATCTCTCGTGCCTCAATCACACTTTCTTCCTCATCTCTCGTGCCTCAATCACACTTTCTTCCTCATCTCTCGTGCCTCAATCACACTTTCTTCCTCATCTCTCGTGCCTCAATCACACTTTCTTCCTCATCTCTCGTGCCTCAATCACACTTTCTTCCTCATCTCTCGTGCCTCAATCACACTTTCTTCCTCATCTCTCGTGCCTCAATCACACTTTCTTCCTCATCTCTCGTGCCTCAATCACACTTTCTTCCTCATCTCTCGTGCCTCAATCACACTTTCTTCCTCATCTCTCGTGCCTCAATCACACTTTCTTCCTCATCTCTCGTGCCTCAATCACACTTTCTTCCTCATCTCTCGTGCCTCAATCACACTTTCTTCCTCATCTCTCGTGCCTCAATCACACTTTCTTCCTCATCTCTCGTGCCTCAATCACACTTTCTTCCTCATCTCTCGTGCCTCAATCACACTTTCTTCCTCATCTCTCGTGCCTCAATCACACTTTCTTCCTCATCTCTCGTGCCTCAATCACACTTTCTTCCTCATCTCTCGTGCCTCAATCACACTTTCTTCCTCATCTCTCGTGCCTCAATCACACTTTCTTCCTCATCTCTCGTGCCTCAATCACACTTTCTTCCTCATCTCTCGTGCCTCAATCACACTTTCTTCCTCATCTCTCGTGCCTCAATCACACTTTCTTTCCTCATCTCTCGTGCCTCAATCACACTTTCTTCCTCATCTCTCGTGCCTCAATCACACTTTCTTCCTCATCTCTCGTGCCTCAATCACACTTTCTTCCTCATCTCTCGTGCCTCAATCACACTTTCTTCCTCATCTCTCGTGCCTCAATCACACTTTCTTCCTCATCTCTCGTGCCTCAATCACACTTTCTTCCTCATCTCTCGTGCCTCAATCACACTTTCTTCCTCATCTCTCGTGCCTCAATCACACTTTCTTCCTACTCTCTCGTGCCTCAATCACACTTTCTTCCTCATCTCTCGTGCCTCAATCACACTTTCTTCCTCATCTCTCGTGCCTCAATCACACTTTCTTCCTCATCTCTCGTGCCTCAATCACACTTTCTTCCTCATCTCTCGTGCCTCAATCACACTTTCTTCCTCATCTCTCGTGCCTCAATCACACTTTCTTCCTCATCTCTCGTGCCTCAATCACACTTTCTTCCTCATCTCTCGTGCCTCAATCACACTTTCTTCCTCATCTCTCGTGCCTCAATCACACTTTCTTCCTCATCTCTCGTGCCTCAATCACACTTTCTTCCTCATCTCTCGTGCCTCAATCACACTTTCTTCCTCATCTCTCGTGCCTCAATCACACTTTCTTCCTCATCTCTCGTGCCTCAATCACACTTTCTTCCTCATCTCTCGTGCCTCAATCACACTTTCTTCCTCATCTCTCGTGCCTCAATCACACTTTCTTCCTCATCTCTCGTGCCTCAATCACACTTTCTTCCTCATCTCTCGTGCCTCAATCACACTTTCTTCCTCATCTCTCGTGCCTCAATCACACTTTCTTCCTCATCTCTCGTGCCTCAATCACACTTTCTTCCTCATCTCTCGTGCCTCAATCACACTTTCTTCCTCATCTCTCTTGCCTCCAATCACCCTTCTTCCTCATCTCTCGTGCCTCAATCACACTTTCTTCCTCATCTCTCGTGCCTCAATCACACTTTCTTCCTCATCTCTCGTGCCTCAATCACACTTTCTTCCTCATCTCTCGTGCCTCAATCACACTTTCTTCCTCATCTCTCGTGCCTCAATCACACTTTCTTCCTCATCTCTCGTGCCTCAATCACACTTTCTTCCTCATCTCTCGTGCCTCAATCACACTTTCTTCCTCATCTCTCGTGCCTCAATCACACTTTCTTCCTCATCTCTCGTGCCTCAATCACACTTTCTTCCTCATCTCTCGTGCCTCAATCACACTTTCTTCCTCATCTCTCGTGCCTCAATCACACTTTCTTCCTCATCTCTCGTGCCTCAATCACACTTTCTTCCTCATCTCTCGTGCCTCAATCACACTTTCTTCCTCATCTCTCGTGCCTCAATCACACTTTCTTCCTCATCTCTCGTGCCTCAATCACACTTTCTTCCTCATCTCTCGTGCCTCAATCACACTTTCTTCCTCATCTCTCGTGCCTCAATCACACTTTCTTCCTCATCTCTCGTGCCTCAATCACACTTTCTTCCTCATCTCTCGTGCCTCAATCACACTTTCTTCCTCATCTCTCGTGCCTCAATCACACTTTCTTCCTCATCTCTCGTGCCTCAATCACACTTTCTTCCTCATCTCTCGTGCCTCAATCACACTTTCTTCCTCATCTCTCGTGCCTCAATCACACTTTCTTCCTCATCTCTCGTGCCTCAATCACACTTTCTTCCTCATCTCTCGTGCCTCAATCACACTTTCTTCCTCATCTCTCGTGCCTCAATCACACTTTCTTCCTCATCTCTCGTGCCTCAATCACACTTTCTTCCTCATCTCTCGTGCCTCAATCACACTTTCTTCCTCATCTCTCGTGCCTCAATCACACTTTCTTCCTCATCTCTCGTGCCTCAATCACACTTTCTTCCTCATCTCTCGTGCCTCAATCACACTTTCTTCCTCATCTCTCGTGCCTCAATCACACTTTCTTCCTCATCTCTCGTGCCTCAATCACACTTTCTTCCTCATCTCTCGTGCCTCAATCACACTTTCTTCCTCATCTCTCGTGCCTCAATCACACTTTCTTCCTCATCTCTCGTGCCTCAATCACACTTTCTTCCTCATCTCTCGTGCCTCAATCACACTTTCTTCCTCATCTCTCGTGCCTCAATCACACTTTCTTCCTCATCTCTCGTGCCTCAATCACACTTTCTTCCTCATCTCTCGTGCCTCAATCACACTTTCTTCCTCATCTCTCGTGCCTCAATCACACTTTCTTCCTCATCTCTCGTGCCTCAATCACACTTTCTTCCTCATCTCTCGTGCCTCAATCACACTTTCTTCCTCATCTCTCGTGCCTCAATCACACTTTCTTCCTCATCTCTCGTGCCTCAATCACACTTTCTTCCTCATCTCTCGTGCCTCAATCACACTTTCTTCCTCATCTCTCGTGCCTCAATCACACTTTCTTCCTCATCTCTCGTGCCTCAATCACACTTTCTTCCTCATCTCTCGTGCCTCAATCACACTTTCTTCCTCATCTCTCGTGCCTCAATCACACTTTCTTCCTCATCTCTCGTGCCTCAATCACACTTTCTTCCTCATCTCTCGTGCCTCAATCACACTTTCTTCCTCATCTCTCGTGCCTCAATCACACTTTCTTCCTCATCTCTCGTGCCTCAATCACACTTTCTTCCTCATCTCTCGTGCCTCAATCACACTTTCTTCCTCATCTCTCGTGCCTCAATCACACTTTCTTCCTCATCTCTCGTGCCTCAATCACACTTTCTTCCTCATCTCTCGTGCCTCAATCACACTTTCTTCCTCATCTCTCGTGCCTCAATCACACTTTCTTCCTCATCTCTCGTGCCTCAATCACACTTTCTTCCTCATCTCTCGTGCCTCAATCACACTTTCTTCCTCATCTCTCGTGCCTCAATCACACTTTCTTCCTCATCTCTCGTGCCTCAATCACACTTTCTTCCTCATCTCTCGTGCCTCAATCACACTTTCTTCCTCATCTCTCGTGCCTCAATCACACTTTCTTCCTCATCTCTCGTGCCTCAATCACACTTTCTTCCTCATCTCTCGTGCCTCAATCACACTTTCTTCCTCATCTCTCGTGCCTCAATCACACTTTCTTCCTCATCTCTCGTGCCTCAATCACACTTTCTTCCTCATCTCTCGTGCCTCAATCACACTTTCTTCCTCATCTCTCGTGCCTCAATCACACTTTCTTCCTCATCTCTCGTGCCTCAATCACACTTTCTTCCTCATCTCTCGTGCCTCAATCACACTTTCTTCCTCATCTCTCGTGCCTCAATCACACTTTCTTCCTCATCTCTCGTGCCTCAATCACACTTTCTTCCTCATCTCTCGTGCCTCAATCACACTTTCTTCCTCATCTCTCGTGCCTCAATCACACTTTCTTCCTCATCTCTCAGCTCTCTGTTGTGCTGAGTGGCCGCACACAAGAAGAGGCAGCAGTGCGAGTGTGTCGAGTTGCGCTGCACTTGTGGCCCTCACATTCTCTAACAAATGTTTTCCTTCCCACCCTCCACCTCGCTCTCTCACTCCCTCCCTCTTCCCCCTTGGTGTGACTGCCTGCACATGCAGAATAGCCAAGTCACCGTCGTTCCTGCGCCTGCCATGCAGCCATGCGGGCACATATGCCGACGACTGCCTTGTGCAGCGAGTCACTCAGGTGAGCATGACTTATGTTACGAGTGCCACTGCCACAGACAGACACCCTCTCAGGTGGGAAATGACGGCTGTCTGCTCTGTTGATCACACGACTGCTGTCGCAAGCCACAGCTGCACCATCGTCGCTGTTGTGTGGCCTATCACCATCGCTTCTCACTTCTACTGCCACACCTTCCCCTCATTTTCCCATCCTGGCATTAGTGGCTTTAACCCTCCTTGAGGAGCTTTCGTCCCAAGGAGGGTTGAAGCCACCAAGGAGTGTTCCTTTGCTTCTCTTCTATTCATCCCTCCACCTTCGAGTTTATCCACTCTTTCCTATCGGGCCTTCCACGTCTGTATTGTTCTGCACCAATCCCTGCTGTGTCTCGTCTCCCCTTGAACCCAAGCCTCTTCCCCCCAGCCTTCTTGTCCTTCCCATCTTCCCCCTGGCCGCCTTTTCCCTGCACCCGTGCCCCTGCCCTCCTCTCCCTGTTCCTTTTCCCCTGCCCTCTCTCCCCTGTCCACGTGTAGCACAAGTGCTACATCGTGGCCACGTGCGATCGTGACCTCAAGCGCCGCATCCGCAAGGTGAGACCCTATGCACACAGACAGGCGGACGCTTCACACACACGCTGACACTCTGCTCTCATGGCTTGCCAGCATTGTGTGCCTCATGGCTTGCCAGCATTGTGTGCCTCATGGCTTGCCAGCATTGTGTGCCTCATGGCTTGCCAGCATTGTGTGCCTCATGGCTTGCCAGCATTGTGTGCCTCATGGCTTGCCAGCATTGTGTGCCTCATGGCTTGCCAGCATTGTGTGCCTCATGGCTTGCCAGCATTGTGTGCCTCATGGCTTGCCAGCATCACCCAATGCATTCACTCAAACACTTGTCAGTAGAAAATATATTTATACATCTTTTTTTTTTAAGGAATTGTTGAAGGGAAGTACCAGCATTACTTGCTGTTGAACGGAAGTACCAGCATCACTTGCTGTTGAACGGAAGTACCAGCATCACTTGCTGTTGAACGGAAGTACCAGCATCACTTGCTGTTGAACGGAAGTACCAGCATCACTTGCTGTTGAACGGAAGTACCAGCATCACTTGCTCTGATGCCTTTCCGTTATGCAAGCACACGAATGCCTATCATTCGTCTCAGCAATCCTTCCACTGACCTATTGCTCGTGCATTGCCTATCCATCCTCCCACCTCCCCCTCCCCCTTCCTCCTCTCCTCTCCCCAGGTGTCAGGCATGGCTGCAATGTGCACAGCTCAACACTCCATTTGAGCCGATTCTTTTAGCCTTCTCTAATAATATGATCCCCCTCTCCGCTCTGGAAAAAGAAGAGTTTTGAGACGTCTCAAAATAATATGATCCCCCTCTCCGCTCCCAGCTGCCAGGTGTGCCCATCATGTGCATTACATGTGCATTGGCTGGTCTGTTTTCCGCTCTTCCTCCCTTTTGTCCCCCGCCTATCAGGTGCCAGGAGTGCCCATAATGTACATAACGCAGCGCAAGCAAGTATTCCATCAAGCCAGTATTCTAGGCATCTCGAACACACCATTCCCTCCCCTCCCCCACCCCCCCTTCCCCCTCCGCCCCTTCTCCTCGCAGGTGCCCGGAGTGCCCATCATGTACATAACGCAGCGCAAGTACTCCATCGAGCGCATGCCTGAGGCCACCATTGGCGGAGGTACCATTGCCTCACACCCTTCCACGCCCTCCCACGCCCGCCCAGCCCCTCCTACGCTCTCCCACACCCTTCGCAACCTACGACCTCCCACACCCTCTCTCGCCCTCCCTCGCCCCCCCACGCCCCCCCTCGCCCTCCCTCGCCCCCCCACGCCCCCTCTCGCCCTCCCTCGCCCCCCCCCTCGCCCTCCCTCGCCCTCCCTCGCCCCCCCACGCCCCCCCTCGCCCCCTCTCGCCCCCCCACGCCCCCCCACGCCCCCCCTCGCCCCCCCACGCCCCCCCTCGCCCCCCCTCGCCCCCCCTCGCCCCCCCTCGCCCCCCCTCGCCCTCTCTCGCCACCCCTCGCCCTCTCTCGCCACCCCTCGCCCTCCCTCGGCACCCCGCCTCCCACAGCCTCCCACGCCCTCCCATGCCTTTGCTGTGCCTCTTTCCTTCTCACAGACACTTGCATGTTGCTCGTCTCCCCTCTGCTCCATGTGATCCGAACTCAACACCCTTCTGTCCATCCCACTTCCATCCATCCCACTTCCATCCGTCCCCCTTCCACCCACCCCCTGCATTCATCCCCCCTTCCACCCATCCCTTTTCATTCATCCCCCCTTTCACCCATCTCCCTTCCCTCCACAACCCACACCCCAATGCATGCGCAGCTCCTCGCATGTAGGTCTGCATGCGCCATGTGCCATCTGTTATGTCCCCACCTTCTGGCCATCATTACGCAGCAGGGACGGAGGCCGCAGCAGCATCAGTGAACGCACCCTTTCCTTGACTTGCCTGAAGGCATTTACTGAGACCTTGTGCTCTTGGCGGCGGCAAATAGTCAGGGGCAGTGAGTGCTCGATGTTTGAGATTCTTCGACACAACTGTATATATAAAGTTGTGCCTAATTCCGTGCTACCCCGGATCTAAGCGCACCTGCGCTGAAAATATGCAGCAGGTTCTTACTTACTAGTACCGTAATTTCCCGTATATACTAGGACCCTCCTGTTTATAGGTCAACCATTTGGAAACAGAAGAGGTTCTATCAGGCATACTGGATGTATGCAGAGTTGAATGGGTTTCAAAGATATAAAAAAACGGAGAACTGTCTAAAATAATCACAAATCGTCATGACGGAAGCAAAACTGTAAGAAAATGTTTCTTGGGGCAGAGGTTCGTGCTGCTGGCCAAAGTGGATGGAGCACGCCGATCCCTTTTTTGGTGGCGACGCGAGGTGTCACGTGTATGCGCGGCGTGGAGATGAAGCAATTGTTGCCTGCACGAATCCTACTGCGAGTCCCTCCCACCGCTGCACTCAAGCCGGTCGACAACATACTTTCTCTGATGGTCACCTTGTGGGCACAATAAATACTCTGTGTTGGACTTTGGCTGACTGGGACGTGAGCGACCTCAATTGACCCTAAACCTCCATCTCACGCTCGTCATTTACATGCCCCATGACCTCCTCGCCCCCACCTATGGCTCTATGGTACCCGGCTTGTTAAATTTTGCAACCTCTCTACCAACACCTTCCAGTATCTCAACTTGAGCGTCGAGATGACTCCTTGGTCTAGCTGTTAAACACGTTTCCAACGTCCACATGCTTCATTCCATGTACTGTATGGCCCCGATATAAGCGCATATTTACTTAAAATGCATGCGCTTGTATCTGGAGCAATGCGCTTCTGGTCGATCCTCGATTATAAGAACACCCCCTAAAAAATACGATTCATTATTAGCGCGAGTTAATTTTAAATTTGAACGAGGCCACTCACACAAGTCGGTGAGCAAGTAGGTCAGCCACCTCCTACGCAGCCATAGCCCCGGCGTACACCTTGGCCTCACAGCTGGAGCTCAGCACAGAAGACGAGCGAGTGGACCTCCACGAAACAGAGCCAGTATCGAGATTAAAAGTGTAACCCTATGTCGACTGCTGAGTCGCCTGGTCGTCAGCCCAAGAAGTGTATGAGTGCCCTGCGAGCACAACTCGACCCCGTCCCCCAAGCACAAGCCCCATGCCTGATGTACAGGCCAAGTAGCGCAGCACCTTCGTAGCAGCCCACCAGTGCTCAGGGTGGTGTCTCCCCGGCGCAACGTAGCGCTCCAGGATGCTGAGAGGGCACGCAAGGTCAGGCAGAGTCCTAATTATCAGGTACATGAGGCAACCCACAAGCTCTGGTTACAAACCACTTGGCTCTACGGACTCGTCTGAAGGTGGAGCTGAGAGCGAGTGGCTCGTAGGCAGAGGAATGGGCTGTGGCGAGGAGAATTGAAAGCGGAAGCGCTGAAGGGCTTGCTGCACGATGCGTGACTTAGTCAGAGTGATGGTGCGCGCTGCTCTGTCCCAGGTGATCTGCAAGCCAAGATAGCTCCACAACTCACCCAGGTCAGTGCAAGTGTGTCTTTTCTGCAGAGTCTGCTATAGTCTTGCCTTCAGGAGACATATTGATGCAGAATTTGTAATAGATGTTGTCATGTGTATTTCAATAGAGAGTTGCTCTAGGAAGAACAAGAACTTGATAGGCCTTTTAATCCAACCATGCTCTCATACCATGTTGATATAACCAAGGAATTGATGTGGTTAGATAATGCTAGCCAAGTAGAAAGGCAGCGAAAGTCTTTAAGTGACCTTGTTCATAAATATGTTGAAAGGAAACAAGAAATCTAAGACAACATTACAAGGGGTTTATATAGGATTCCTAGCTAGCTATGTACTCTGAGGGGTACATTCCCTTATAAATTGTTTTGCAGACATCGCTACAGTTGCAATGACTATTGCGATCCTTTATGGTTACCATGTTGCAATGTGTAGCCTTCGATTACGGTTGCGGGATAGTCAGCAGTCATCCACACCTTCCTGTTTGTACGGTACCAAACGAAGTCTTGCACATTAAAGTCACGCTTGAAGGAGCGTGGTCGACTTTCCAATGACGATAGGCCTCCTGAAGTCGGACCCGTCGGCGTTCACACAAAGCGCAAGGGTGAAGCGCTCTTTGTCCAACTTTCTACCTGACACAGGCTCAGTGGCGTATTAAACATGTCTCGTCCAAGTTATGAACGTCCTCTGCATCATAGCCTTGAAGAAGGAAAAGAAGCTTCTCCCACGCTATGGCAATGGACTCTTTGTTGGAGTTTATAGCTTCCTTTTTCCGTATGTAGGATGACATGCCCATGCACGCCAAAGCTCTACACAGCCACCCCTCGCTACACGACAATTCTTTGAGCTTTTGCATGCGCCTTACTAGTTCGCGCGCTGTTCCTTGAAGGATTGGGAAAGATATCGGCAGGTTGGCGGCATTTTGCTTAATAGCCCGTTCATGCGTTGGATCCGGCAGCAAACACGGCAGAAGATCCGTCAGCGTCTGTTGTGGCAGAAGTTCCGCTAGAATCGCCGGTCGGTGGTTTTTTCCTGGGAAGTGAGGAGACCTGTTTGCCGACTCCCGCCGGTTCTCGTGAGTGGGATGCGAAGGAGGCATCGCGGATTGATGCCGCCGTCAACAACGGATGGCTAGATGTCGATAACAGCAGCAGCGGAAGCAGTGACGGCTGAGGCGGCGGCGGCAACAGAAGCAGCGAGGCGATGTGGCGCGGCGCGTGGGCGAGCGAAAGATGGCGTTAATCGTGGAAGGACATGACCAGTTGGAAGGCGAGCGGTTTGAAGAGGCCGTCGCCACATACGATGAGGTTAGCGGCGAGATGTGACGAGGTGCTAGACAAGATGAAACGAGGTGCGCTAACGAAGTGCGAGCCCAAATGTAACGAGGTGAGAGGCAAGGCGAGACGAGGTGCAAGCCTAGCTGTAACAAGGTGCGTGGCAATTTTCACGAGATAAGGTACGAGATGTAATGAGATGCGAGATGTAACGAGGCGAGAGGCCAGATGTACCAAGGTGCAGCAAGAAAGGATGTCCAGCTCCCCCCAGCCCTAAAAGAGGATGTTTTTTTGTTTTCCCCCGTTCCATAACGCCGATCCCTTAACGTCTCCTTCCTCCACTGCTCGCTCCCGCCCCCTTCGCTTTCCCCACATGTGGAGACGCTGCTGCGGCGGATACACCAGCAGCTGTTGCACCGGCGCGGCGTGGCGTGGCGAAGCACGAGCTGGCTGTAGTGGACTTTGAGCAGGTGAGCGCGCCTGGTGTGAACGTGTCATGCGAAGAGTGTCGTATGAAACGGGTCGTGTGAAGCGTGTTGTAAGAACGTGTCGTGAGAAGCGTGTCATGAGAAGCGTGTTGTGAGAAGCGTGTCGTGAGAAGCATGTCATGAGAAGCGTGTCGTGTGAAGCATGTCGCGCGCTTCTTTGGCCCTTTGCATGCGCGCTCTCACACCCCTCTTCCCCCACAGGCACTGAGCGCCAACTCTGGCAGCGCAGAGTTGTGGAAGGAGGTGATTCTCCAGGCAGCCAATATCTTGTCACAAAATATGCTTCTCTGGCCTCGCCTCCCCCGCAGGCACTGAGCGCCAATCCCAACAGTGTGGAGCAGTGGATGGAAGTGGGGGCAGAGCGGGAGGCGCTGGGGCGGCATGAGACGACGTTCGAGGCATTCACTCGTGCAATAAAGCTGCTGCTGGGCGATGCAGAGGCGCTCAAGAGACGAGGTGCGTGGAATGGGGAGAGGGGAGGTATGGATAGCAGGATAAGGTTTGAGTCGACTCAAAGAGCAGCACGAGAGGGCGTTCGAGGCGTTCAGTCGTGCAGTAGAGCTGTTGCCGGGTGATGCAGACACACTCAAGCGACGAGGTGCGTGGGATGGGAGGGGAGAGGGGAGGCACGGATAGCAGGATGAGTTATGAGTCGACTCAAGGGTAGCACGAGAGTGCGTTCGAGGCATTCAGCCGCGCCCTGGCGCTACAACCTGGCAGTGCAGAGGCGCTCAAACGACGAGGTGCGTGGGAGAGGGGGGAGGAGAGGCACGATGCTTGAGCAAGTAGTGCATGCATTGTGGTGTGGCTTAGTCTGGTGTGGTGTGGTGTGTGTGCTCTGAAAGAACGTGCATTGGTCTTGCCGCTGCCGACTTTTGCGCCTCCCCATCACAACTCGCACTGCTCCTTCGTGTTGGTGCGACTCCATGGTTTGCACTCGGCTTATTGTCCTTGTGCGTGCATGCGTGTGTGCATGGAATGGTATAAGGGCATGAGGTAATATATATTTCATGCATATAATAGTATGTGAATGATGCGTCATGATGTTGAATGTGTGTGCCGAGGAATAGCAAGAGGTAATATATATTTCATGCTTATAATAGTATGTGAATGATGAGTCATGATGTTGAATGTGTGTGCCGAGTCAATGGCGCGTTATCACTATTTGCGTATCACGTTGTCGTTTGCGTGCGTTTTTCTATTTTGTCGTGTGTCGATCGCTCGGCGTGTCACAGGTGTGAGCAGCACAATTTCAAAAACTTGAGGATGAGTTTATGGTGAAGAATCAGAGCTTTGGTTTCAAGACTCAAGTGATTTCGAAGCTCGCCAAAAGGGCAAACTTCAAGATAGTGAGAATAGTTGCATTACAATGTGTAGTGTAATATTTCTCTTGGTGTAGACCCTTGTGGAGGATACTTTCAAGACCCTTCATGGTTGGGAACCGTGTGGCACTGTTCCACATCACTGTACCTTGGCTTTTGGGGTTGTAGAGGCTGGAATCCATTCCTAACTCGTAACTCCTCCTAATTTGTGTTCTAAGACTATAGTGGTTGCGACAGTGCCGTTCATTTAAACCAGCGTTGCGTTGTCAATACTTGATGGATTTGTGCGATTGAAGTAACATATTTTGGCAATGTGATTACGCTTCAGATCCAATTTATAGCATGTCATTTGAAGCTATGACCAGAACGCTATACACGTTTGAAGTCGCTGTGCAGAAATCCGTCTGTGCACAATTTCTTTTGTTTTAGGCATATTTGAGGCTATTGTGACTATAACAAGTGGTATCAGAGCCCTTTGGAGCAATTTTGGAAATGGATGGACCTGAGGAAAGAAGTGGCAGAGGTTCTGGTGGTAGTGGTGAAGCCCAAGCTCAAGGCCAACCTCGTGGTCCTGCCATGTCTCCCATGCAATCAAGTGTTGGCCCACCTAGGGATGAGCCTAGGGTGTTTGGGCTTGACAAGTTCAACGGTGACAACTTTGCTGAGTGGTCCTTCAAAATGGAGATTATGTTTGATCACTATGACCTGCTGGAGGTGATGGAAGGAACGGAGACGCGACTCGAGAACGACCCGGAGAATAGCCCGTGGGTGCAGAAGAGCGCACAAGGCTACCCTACTTGGGCAAGCGTTGGGGAGCAGTCAAATCTGTTACATCAAGCCTTTTCAGCGAGAACCAGAGAAGGGACCCAAGGCATGGGCTGCTCTCAAGGGTGTACATGCTACTGCAACAGCGGCGGTAGCGGTGGTGTTTGAGCAGCAAATGGTGGCACCTTGGATTGAAGAACATGAAGCGGTTGAAGAAGATTTCGTGCACAGGTGTAGGGGGCACAGCTGGTGTAGAGGTTTGCGGGAGTTTATCTGCGCAGGGTTGCATCTGACCCTGTGCACCCTCGAATGCACAATTGAATTAGAAATTCAATGTGCGCGGATTTCGACCAATGTGAGCACAAGGAATTTTGACCAATCAATTTGTGGTGAAGATTACCCGCCAGGAGAAATTGAACCAGCAACAGAAAAAGAACATGCTACACGTCTTTGTAATGCATGTACAACCTAGGCAACTTTTGGTTAGGTGAAAATACATGGGCCTGCTGGGGGAGACCGACCAGGTTAAGAGAGGGACCTCCTGCTCTCACTCCAGCTTGGACAGTATGTACTCTGCCTGATCTGCTCTACTCTTCTCTGCTATTTGCTTCTCTGTCTCGATCCCCACGCCCTCCCTTGCTGCCTCCCTCCCTACCTGCCCGCCTGTTCGCCTCTCTGCCTCCCTTCCTGGGCCCTCTCTTTTAGAGTCCGTTTGTCTCTGGCTTCGCCTAGTCTATGCTTCCTGGCTTCAGTTTCTCCATTGCAGGAACTTGCCCTCCTTCGCCGTCTCTAATCGCCAGGGCCTTTGCTAGGATTTAAGGCATCCTGAGGCCTCAGGGCAACTCTGCAGAAAAAAAAAATGCCCTGATTTTTCAGGGCAAATTTTATGATCAATTCTGCAGTTTCAGGGCACATGCAGAGCTTCATCCTGAACTCTCAAGGCCCTGTTTAGTTCTAGTTAGGCCTAATAACTCCTTTGTAGCAACCTGGAGGGTTGGTTGGTAGGGAGGGCAGGACAGGTACCTGGAGGGTTGGTAGGAGGGCAGGAACCTGAAGGGAGGGCAGAGAGGGCAGGTACATGGATGGAGGGCTGAGAGGGCAGGTGCCCGTAGGGTGGGCAGAGAGGGTAGGTACCTGGAGGGTTGGTAGGGAGGGCAGGTACCTGAAGGGAGGACAGAGAGGGCAGGTACCTGAATACTTGTCAGGGCAGTCCCCGTCGTTCATCCTGACTTAAAACCCGCTGCCTGAATTACAAGAACGAGTCAACGCTTGGTTTGGGAAGAGGTTGGGAAGAAGTTCGGGTGGTTGGGTGACACTTTCGGGTGGCGAAACCAATTTGCGAACACACAAGTGTCGCAGCACAGTATTTGTGCGACGGAACCAACACAATGAGGAAGGGATGTGACCTAGAGAACCTCCCTCGACAAAAAACCAGCGCACCATTACTAGCTACTAATTTTCCTACACGAAAGTATCGAATCTTGGTGTCCTCCAAGCAGCAGCACACAACTTCAGTAGCTACATTACGCGAACATTCTTACATTAGGCGGGGTGCGAAAACGCAAGACATATAGACCAAGGGCGCGGAATGCAGGGGTGCTGCACGTAGGAAAAGGACAACTGCAGTGTAAGGAACATCATATAATAGGAAGCTTCAATTTACTTCCACGCTCTCCTCCGCTCCTGGCTGCCCTGTTCCCATCGCCATTACTTCAGCGTCCCGTCGTCTATCGTTCGCCGTCTGGTCACCCTCCCTTCTCCATCCCGTCGCCGTCAGTTCCCTTTCAGGAATGACACCTACATCCCGTTTCTCCTCCCCCACGCTTCCCACTCACATCCCCCTCAAATTCCCCAGTGTCGCCCTCAATGAGCATACCCGTCGCCTTCAGTTCCACCCCTCTTCGCCCACACATCCCAATACTGTTGCCCCCCTTCCCCTAACCGACCCGTCGCCCACATTTACGATTCCAGATATAAGGCGTTTACGACTCAAGTCGTCCGCTTTTCCCCCTCCCGACGCCGTCATGTCCAGAACTCGTCGTCCGCATTTCGCATTACCAAAATTCCCGCATTCCCCACATTTCGTCGAGCCGTCGTCACCAGGGTGGAATCCATCCCGTCGCCCGCAATTCCCCATCCCATCGCCCGCTATTCCTCATCTAGTCGCCCGCATTTCCCCATCACGTCGCCCGCATTTCTCCTTCCCGTCGCCCGCATTTCTCCTTCCCGTCACCCGCATTTCCCCCACCCGTCGCCCACATTTCCCCTTCCCGTCGCCCGTATTTCCCCATCCCGTCGCCCGCATTTCACCATCCCGTCGCTCGCAATTCCCCATCCCGTCGCACGTATTTCCCCATCTCGTCGTCCGCATTTGCCATCCCGTCGCCCGCATTTCCGCATACAGTCCCGCATTTTCCCACGGATCACTCTCTTCCCCCCCCCCTTCACACTTCCTACTTCCCCTCTTCTCCCTCTCTTTCCCCCTTCTTGCATCCCGTTTCCCCCCTGCTCATTCTCTGGCCCCCTTCAATCATCCAGTTTCGGCACATCTCACTCACTTTCCCCCATCACTCATCCCATCCCAGTACCGCCCCTCACCTCATTTCCTTCTGCTCAATCACTTTCCCCCTTTGCACAGCCCATATCCCCCCCGCTCACTCCCTTGCCCCCTTCAATTATCCCATTTCCATACATCTCACACTCTTTCCCCCTTCGCTCGCCCTATTTTCCCCCTGCTCTCTCTTCCCCCCTGCACTCATCCCATTTCCCCCATGCTCACTCTGTTTCCCCCTTCTTCCATACTATTTCCCCCCTGCTCTCTCTCTTGCACCCTTCAATCGTCCCATTTCCCCCCGCTCACTCTCTTGCACCCTTCAATCGTCCCATTTCCCCCTGCTCACTCTCTTGCACCCTTCGATCGTCCCATTCCCCCTCGCTCACTCTCTTGCACCCTTCAACCGTCCCATTTCCCCCCGCTCACTCTCTTGCACCCTTCAACCATCCCATTTCCCCCCGCTCACTCTCTTGCACCCTCCAACCGTCCCAGTTCCCCCTTCTTCCATACTATTTCCCCCCTGCTCTCTCTCTTGCACCCTTCGATCGTCCCATTCCCCCCCGCTCACTCTCTTGCACCGTTCAACCGTCCCATTCCCCCCCGCTCACTCTCTTGCACCCTTCAACCGTCCCATTTCCCCACGCTCACTCTCTTGCACCCTTCAACCGTCCCATTTCCCCCCGCTCACTCTCTTGCACCCTTCAACCCTCCCATTTCCCCCCGCTCACTCTCTTGCACCCTTCAACCGTCCCATTTCCCCCCGCTCACTCTCTTGCACCCTTCAATCGTCCCATTTCCCCCCGCCCACACTCTTGCGCCCTTCAGTCGTCCCATTTCCCGACGGCTCACTCTCTTTCCCCCTTCTTTCATCCCGTTTCCCCCATGCTCATTCTCTGGCCCCCTTCAATCATCCAGGGGGTACTCCTCACCCCTC